GTGTGTGTGTGTGTGTGTGTGTGTGTGCATGTGTTTGTGTCTATGTATGCGTGTATGTTTGTTAGCGTGTGAGTCTATTTATGCCTGTGTGTATGTGTGTGAGTGTGTGTGTGTGTGTGTATATGTATTTGTGTCAACATTTACTTTTCCAACGGGATTGTGTCTAAAGATATTTTGGCCTCTTACTAATAATCTTAACTCAAAGGCTTACCAATATGATATACAGTGGCGTCCAAATGAAACTTGAAAATTATGTAATTACCCAATCGTCGTGTTGAAGCCTCGCATTACCCACTCATGAGGGAGCAATATAAAGCTGAATAAATTATGCATCATCTGACACCTTAATAAATCATCTATGTCAAGAGACGCCCGAGATATGGTCACTCAAAACTGACCTGAAAAAATCAGGCTTGGCAAAATTGTGCGAAAGCACAATTTATATAAGATAAATTCTAGCTTTGTAAAGTAACTTTCAGTCGCTGTATAATTGCATTATTTTTCCAGGTTTCGAAGAAGGCAGTTTTGGGTGGCAGTCTGATGGTTTGCTGAACTCTACTGGAGACATCGGGGATATAGACATTCAGGTCTGTCTGTCTGTCTGTCTGTCTGTCTGTCTGTCTGTCTGTCTGTCTGTCTGTCTGTCTGTCTGTTCCAACAAAAATCTCCTCAGTTATTCAATAAGTCCAATAAGGAGAACAGCTATCTGGACACGTTAGAGGGCGAACTGATTATCCAATTTTGTCGTGTTTCAATGAACCGGTCTCTTTAGTTTTAGTAAGGTTTTACGGCGCTCGCAACTACATAATATGGTCTTATGAGCGCCAAGGGCTGGATATCAACAGAGAAGTCCAAACGGGGGAATCAGAATTACTCTGCTCACATCTCTAGCCTCGACAGCACAAAGTCTGCCTCGACAACCAAGGCACTAAGGAAATAGCAGTTCATAAGAGAGTGACAAACATACAAAAGAAGTAGAGGAAAATAACGATAGTAAAGATGAGGAAAGTAAAAGCAGCAGTTCCCCCTATGTTGTTCCGGCACAGTATGAGCATGACATTGATAAATCAGATTATTTACAATTTTACTTTATATAAGAACATTTTAAACAGAGTATGAACCAGTCATCGAACTGACCTGTTTGTTGACTGATCACCTCTCAATACGAGATAGAGAACCGGTTATCCGTTTGTATCAGAGAACCGATCCCTCAATTGGCATTGGGTATGAACCATGGTGACTGATCATCTCTTAATACGAGAGAGCGAACCGATTATCCGATTCCTGTGTTTCAGGGCGACTGGCTGACGATCCGGTTCTGCTGCCGTAAGACGGACTACCAGAAGATGCCCGTGGAGCTTCCTCACAGAGAGCCCTTCAGCCTAGTGGCCTACTCCATGGGCTGTCCGGAGGTGGTGGGTCAGTGCTGCGGCCTTTGACCTCTCTGCTTTAGCTGGGATAATAGAGTTTTGTCTTATCTTATCTTATCTTATCTTATCTTATCTTATCTTATCTTATCTCATCTTATCTTATCTCATCTTATCTTATCTCATCTTATCTTATCTCATCTTATCATATTCTTTGTCCTCTCTACTTTAGCTGGGATAATAGAATATTATCTTATCTTATCGTATCTTATCTTGTCTTAGTTTTACTGTGGCTATTTCTGTTTTGTATTAAGACGTTGGGAAAGATCAGGGAAACGTAGCTTTATTTGGAGCATCCGAGCAAAGGAATGAAAGGAGAACCATGATCGCCGATGTCTGCTGCAGATAATGATTTTTAATTTCTATTAATGTTTTCGAGCTGTAAAAAAAAATAATTTTAATGTCAATTTTTTATTTTCATTTTAAGATTAAAATGTAAATATTGTTTCCTTTTGTGTTTGTGGGAAAGGCGGGGGGTAAATGGTAATGATAAAAATTTCAGAAATTCTCCACCTCCTCTCCCCGCTCTCATCCTATGTCTCCTTCTTTTCCTCGTCGTATTTCTTCTTCCGCTCACACTCCTCTATTTTTCATTCTCTTTTCCTCCTCCTCCTCCTCCTCCTCCTCCTCCTC